GAGGCAACGGTGCTAACCACCGAGCCTCCTTGCAACCCTGGGGAGGAGGTGATAAAATTAAAACATCTGTTTCAAGGTGCAAACTCTACAGCAAAATAGAGTTTACATTACACAACATTGCTGCTGATAAGAAGTGAAAGTACAGAACTGAGACCCTGAGGTACGGAGAACAAGCAACTCAGCAAACCGAACTAAAGACCAGTTAACAGAAAGTGACCACAGAAAACCAAAACATGAAACTCAAAGAGAGACAAAGGAAACAAAAAATACATAAACTAAGACAGGAGACATCACTCGCTGAACTACAAACAGAGCTACAGCTGAAGAGAGATAAGTATAATAAAGCTACGGGAATACACTAAACAGAAACACAAGAACAGACTGAATTAGCAGTGGACAAGAAATAACAGACGCATTTGACACTGAAGGCTAGGAAAACTTCACTGGGGGGTCAGGGCTGGAAAGTGGCCATGCAAAAGTCCATGAGGCAGTGAGCAGGGTGAAAGTATTTCAATGACAAACTGTCTCTGTTTTGGTCCAATAAAAGAGCCTGAGAGGATTTAGCTTCTGGTCCAAGTGTGTACAAGGAGACAGAATAAAGTCACAAATAATTTCCTTTTTTTGTTTGTTTGGTTTTTTTAACAGAACAACATTTGAAATGTGTGCAGCTTGTACACACAAAATTATGTAAATGAAAATGAGGGAATCCAAGGAGATTTCATAGAGATGGAAAGAAGACAAGACAGAGAACCTGTTAAGGCATGGTGTCCAGGTTACAATGTGTCGCTGAATGATGGTCAGAGCCAGGGTTTCATGGAGTGAGGCGTTTAATTCACAAACACTTGCTGACTGGATGTTACAAGTCACCTGTTCTTCCCTGATTCTTCACGAGGTCTATTCAGTTCAATTCATCCATTATCTATACACCAATTAATCCTCATTGGGGTCACGGGGGGGCTGGAGTCTATCCCAGATGACTCAGGGTGAAGGCAGGTTCACCTGGACAGGTCACCAGTCTATCACAGGGATACACAGAGAGACAGACAACACTAACAGCGGTGGTGATAACTACCGAACCACCGTGCAGCCCCAATTTAATTCAATTTAGTTTTATTTAGTGCAAATTCACAACATATGTCATCTCACAGCGCTTAACGTAGTAAGGTACCGATAGTACGAACCATGTGACTTCACAACTAAGAAACCAATTCTGCTTTGAAATGTCTTAGTATAGGTGGAGCTCATTTATGAGAAGGATTCTAGAACTATTTTAATTCTAAAACAGCACTTTAAATGTTCTTCACCAAATAATGCTAAGCGCTGCAATGACATATATGTGAACTGCGCTGTATAAATACAGCTGAATTGAATTTAATATTTAAAAAAACAATAAAAGCACTGTTGCCTCGCAGCAAGAAGGTCACCGGTTCACGTCCCGGTGAGGACACCCGGGATCTTTCTGCATGGAGTTTGCATGTTCTCTCCGTGCAGCGTGGGTTCTCTCTGGGTTTTCCGGCTTCCTGCCACAGTCCAAAAACATGTAGAGGTTAATTGGTGATTCTAAATTGTCCGTAGGTGTGAATGTGAGTGTGCTTGGTTGTCTGTCTCTAAGTGTAGCCCTGTGATAGACTGGTTACCTGTCCAGGGTGTCCCCTGCCTTCACCCTGAGTCAGCAGAGCTAGGCTCCAGCCCCTAGTGAGGATTAAGTGGTGTATAGATAATGGATGGAAGATGGACATAGCTTGACTGTTGGTAGAGATGCAGCTCAAGACAGAACAAAAATGCTCAGATATTATTTTAAGTTATGTGGTAATGCTTTGTTTTTTCTCAAAAAACTGTTATGATTATAAAAATGTCTCTTTTACATTAACCCATGATTGTGATTGATTACTACAGATGTTTCTTCAAAGTCGTTTTTGTTTTTTTTTCATTTCTACTGTTTATAATCCCTTCCTCTGTATTTTAGGTGTGAGAAACCGTGGAAGAAGAGATGGACAGAGGAAGAGGGAGAGGTAGCTGTGGACCGACTGAACTGGAAAACAGCACAGGAGGGCAATGAAACAGCAGGGAGTCGGAGACATGCACACGCTCATGCACTCACACAGGCCAAACTTTAAAACATGCAGCAGAGAGACAGACTTGACACGCTGTCCGAGCTACGGGAAGATACTAAAACAGCAGGGTACTGCCAGAGCCATGGGGAGAGAGTAAAAACAGCAGACTGTTGCCAAAACGCGTCTTAAACTGACAACTTTTACACACACAGAAGATCACTGCAGCTGACAGCAGCCATGTTTGGGAAAGCTGGAGCTCATCAGATGATCTGCTGCTTTACAGGACTTTAAATGTGGTCAACATACGGTGGCAGAGATTGTTGTCAACTGAGAACCCTCTGTAGTGCAAAATCTTTTAAATTTGATATTTCAATGTCAAATTAAAAACAAATCCCAAAAGATAAGCGACAGTGCACTGTAGGAATGTCATGTTTGGATTGTTTCTGTCGTACATATAGCTGAAGAAAGTTGTATCGTGGCAGAAATTGCTCGACCAACAAATTCCATAGTTTATTATGACACATGCAAGACAGTCTTTCAGTTCATGCACAGCAGCTCAGGTGGATTCATTTTTCAACATACTGCATATGAACAGATTCCAATGACAAATATTTACCTCCACCTTAAGATGCCGTTTCAAGGAAATAACTTTTTTTCCAATAACATATAAAATGTGTAAAAAAAAAAAAAAAAAAAATGTGGTGAATTCGATGAAAATAGAAGTTCTAGAAAAAGCTAAGAGCTTTCCTCTCCTAACTATGTGAAATTGGACTCTCCAAAGATCACCTCACAAAGCCTGGTGATAATTAGCTTGTTATTAGCACAGAAGCTGTCATTGCGCTTCACTGACATAATGTTAGACTCTCCTGAATAAAACAAACCTGAACCTTCTGTGCTAATTGACTCACATTACTAACTAACAGATCGTCTTAGGCCACACAGAATAACGAATAGTAATGGGTCATTCCTTCTCAACTCATTACATTTCTGCTCAACCATCTCTGATTTGCCTGAATATTTATACTTAAAAAAAAAATAAAAAATTCTAGCTAGACATATCAAACACTTGCAAAGATATACAGCATATATATTTTTAATCTCTTGTCAACCCACT